ATTGTTCACTGTTTACTGTATAATTATTGACTTTTCACTCTTCCGGTATTTAATCGAATCGTTTATGTACTCGTATTTCTTCGGACGTGAAAAATGAATTAACCACGCCGCACATTTACATGTATGTACGTATTTTTCGAGGTGTTAAGAAATATTTAATCATGCTAAACATTTATACGTACGCAACTATTTTCCTTACTCACATCGTATGTTTTTTTTTTCGTGGCGTTAAAAAAAAATACTCAACCACACCATGAATGTATACTCCATGTCAATATTTCATTCTTGTTTACTTCTTTTGTGCAATAAACTCCGTTAGTTTTCAAAATGCCGTGTATTTATTAGTGTGTGTGTGTGAGAGAGAGCGCCCTCTATGACACATTCTGAAAAATCTTTCGTCCACGCCTGTCCAATTAAAAAATAATTAAAAATAATTAAAAATAATTAAAAATAATTAAAAATAATTAAAAAAAAAATAATTAAAAAAATGATGGTAATTTATGCAAATGTATTCACGATGACCTCGACACGACCTCGTATTCACATCAATTTTATGTATGCAAATGTATTCACAATATCCCATTGTGACGTCATCCTCATGAAAAATCTTTCGTCCACGTCTGTCCAATTAAAAAAAATAATTAAAAAAATTGATAGTAATTTATGCAAATGTATTAACGATGACCTCGACACGATCTCGTATTCACATCAATTTTATGTATGCAAATGTATTCACAATATCCCATTGTGACGTCATCCTCATGAAAAATCTTTCGTCCACGCCTGTTCAATTAAAAAAAATAATTAAAAATAATTAAAAAAAATAATTAAAAAAATTGATAGTAATTTATGCAAATGTATTCACGATGACCTCGACACGACCTCGTATTCACATCAATTTTATGTATGCAAATGTATTCACAATATCCCATTGTGACGTCATCCTCATTCAAATGAACCCCTTTACGGCATTGGTCCTCATTTATGTTAATTTATGCACGAATTCCCATTGTGACGTCATTATTTATGCTAAGCTATGCACGGCCTCCCATTGTGATGTCATCCCACCCCGTATGACGTCATCGCATCCGAGTATGAACAGCGCCCTCATGGTCGTCCCTATAGTCCGACGTAAACTACTAACATTGTTTGATAACTAAAGAATGCAGTTCGCCGAACTCGTGTGAGTTTGAACCAGGGACCTTTAGATCCCCAGCTTAGTACAGTACAAGGTGTGCAATATGGTTCACGTTTCTATAATTGAAGAATTCGAAACAATGGTTAGGTTAAATTTGTATTATCTAATCTCCTTTATTTGTCTATAGTATAATACTAATGATAATATAAATAATATGAATAATTTCATCTGTGTACACCCCATTCTAATAACTAACAAGCCATGCATGGCACAGTTAGCCAATTTAGTTAGCTAATTTGAGATATATAGTTGTGTTTGTAATAATATAGTTGGAACATAAACATGTCAGAGTTTTGGATCTAAAAAGCTGATGCTTGATTATGGTGAATTTTTAACATAAATATGATTGACATTCAGTCATCTTGTATCTGATCGTCAAACGAGTACTTGTCCATATTGAGAGATATTGCTCTGCAACACAATAATTAAAACAAAACAGCCACCAGTCGGCCATTTTGAATATAAATATATCTGCATATCTATGACATAAAATATAATGAATATATAAAATTGGAACATAATCTGTCAAAGCATGTCAGAGATATGGTTCTAGAACTACATTCATTAAAACAAGTTGGCCGCCAGTCAATCATTTTGAATCTGATCTGAAAAATAATATTATGTTTGAATATAATCAGTCCAAGCATCTCTTAGCTATAGGTCCGGACGCACAGAGGTCAATCCATAAGTTCCTGTTTTTCGGACTAATAAGAAGGCAGACGACGGGTTTTATTGACTCTGATTAAACAAAGACATTCAGAATGTGAAATACCAAATAAAAAAATAAAAAATAAACAAACCAAAAAAATAGTTAGAATATTGTTATACATATTTCGGTCCCGGTTGTGTTGTGTAAACAACCGACGTCTACGGTATCTCTGAATTGTTCTCACTTGCGCATACATAGAGTGCAACCAGGAAGCCTGTCAACACGGCAAATAGTACAAAACAGAACACGATCAGATATGCCCTGTCTATTATTTTAGCGATATCTCGCCATTCTTGCAAACGTGTGTCACGTACATGCGATTCCTTTACATTATCGCCGTCTTGTTTTTCATAGCAGTGGTCGATTGAATTATTTGCTTGGTTCATCGGCTGCACTCCATTCACGGACATGTTCTGATTGGAAGTTTTCTTCTTTTGTATGTCTGAACACGTGATCTTCTTCAGATAATTGTATGCAAAATTTCGTAACCAAAGGGGCACTTCTTCGCAATGGGAACCTTTGTAGTGCATGTGTAGCGTGCACCCCGTCATGACTGCCGAAAATATAACTAATCCAATCAAGATGAAGAAATAGATTTCTGAAATAAAATTAAATAAAGATAAACTTCAATAAATTATTTTGATAAGGGTAGAACTATGCACTGGAACTTTCACAGCACTTCCCATAAATCATTAAACAAAGTAATTCACTAACGAATGCGACTTTGGGAGAACCTTGGTTAAGGTCCGCAGGTGCTTGTGTTCGACCGAGCCTGGTTGACGCCAGGATAGCGCAGTAACCTGCTAACCTTTTTACGTCTGAATTATTGCCAACATGTTGAATAAATATTGGTTTTATGAGAACACTTTAAATAGGAGTAATATTATAGGAGATTGTGCAAATGTCAGAGAAAACAATGATAACCAAACCATACATGACACAGTCCTCGTTAGTTATTAAATCTTACCAAATCAAGATATATAGTTTTGTTTATAGTAATATACTAGTAGTACACGTCCTTTGAGAGATATTGCTCTGGAGCAGCATTAATTAAAACAAAATTGCCACCGGTCACCGAACATCAAACCAATACATTTGTATATCTATGCATTATGTATAATAATATATAACATTTGAATATAAGTCAAAACATGTCAGAGATATGGCCCTAGAACCACATTCATTAAAACAAAATGGCCGTCAGTCAGCCATTTTGAATCTTATCTGAAAAACAAAATGACGTGCATCAAGGTCATATAATGTTCAATTTTTGTCAAGTTCGTACACAATCCGTAAACAGTCAAGAAATGCTTGATTTTGATGATTTTTCAGTACAAAAATAGCCGCCAATCAGACTGCGAAACAAATTGATGTACATATGTATAATATTATGTATGATGTATGTGTGAAGTTTGAATATAATTGGTCCAGGCACGTCCACGGTACAGGTCCGAACGCAGGGACCCACAGAGGTCAATCCATTTTAATCTAAGACCATGTCACCTAATATAAGACTATGTCTCCCAATCTAAGACTATGTCTCCCAATCTAAGACTATGTAAGCCAATCTATGACTATGTCGCCCAATCCATGACTATATCGCCTAATCTAAGACTATGTCTCCCAATCTAAGACTGTGTCTCCCAATCTAAGACTATGTCTCCCAATCTAAGACTATGTAACCCAATCTATGACTATGTCGCTCAATCTAAGACTGTCTCCCAATCTAAGACTATGTCTCCCAGTCTAAGATCTATGTCTCCCAATCTAAGACTATGTCTCTCAAGCTAAGATTATGTAACCCAATCGAAGACTATGTCTCCCATTCTAAGACTATGTCGCCTAATCTAAGACTATGTCTCCCAATCTAAGACTATGTCTCCCAATCTAAGATTATGTAACCCAATCTAAGACTATGTCTCCCAATCTAAGACTATATCTCCCAATCTAAGACTATGTAACCCAATCTAAGACTATGTCTCCCAATCTAAGACTATGTCTCCTAATCTAAGACTATGTCTCCCAATCTAAGACTATGTAACCCAATCTAAGACCATGTCTCCCAATCTAAGACTATGTAACCCAATCTATGAATATGTCGCCCAATCTAAGACTATGTCGCCTAATATAAGACTATGTCACCCAATCTAAGACTATGTCTCCCAATCTAAGACTATGTCTCTCAATCTAAGACTATGTTAAGAACAGTCATGACGGTTTTCAAATATGTACTAATGAAAATACTTACGAAGTTTTGGTATGAATTCCGAATTTGGTGGCATAAAATCGGTGACGATGGTTAGAAACAGGAACTGTGCTAGGATGGTGGCAACGCACAGAGTAATCCTCTCACCAGAGTCCGAAGGTAAATAGAAACCAACAGCCACTAATATACACGCAAGGAATGACGGGAAGATTATATTACACACATAGTACATGGAACGCCTCTTAATGTGGATTGTATATGTAATATCCGGAAAGGGGTCTGGACAGCACACATAGTGAATGAGATTACGTGATATAGGCATGTGTACTAAGTCCCACTCGCCGTTCATCACGAACCTGTCAGTGTTGCTCATCGGATCAGGTTCAATGTCCAGGAATTTACTATCGTAACTCCAGGAGGCAAATTTGAGTGAACACTGTTGTTTATCGAACGGGAAGTAGGACACATCAATATCACACGAAGCTTCAAGTGTGAATGGCTGGAGCGCCGTTACTTCTCCGTTGTATGCAACGATAGCATCGGTGTCGTAATGACGTTTGAATTCTTTCTCAATGCTGCAGGAAAATCAAATTAAATTTATTTAGAAGTCATTCTGACCATATGTTGTATATACAGTCCATGATTTGACTCCGTCTCCACCTATCATAGGCTACTTCCAGCATCACGAGGACGTGATACAATTGACAGATAAGTCTTTAATTTGAAATACTTCTAAATTTGTTTTGTGTACATAAGATCGTAAACGTGAACGCTGAGAACTTAAGCACCTAACTTTTTGATAGCCATCAACACAACTCGAACAATGGCTGATTTCTATTCAATAAGACCCTTGTTATTGTTACTTTATTGTGGGACATTTACCAAGATAAATTAATAATGACATTACAATCTAATCGTTACACACATTGTTCGTTTGCATGTCTCGTGTAGGATCGGAAACGCCTATCCATGGTAAGATATTTTCCCCGCAGATTGTCGTTTGTGTAGTATGATAGGTACTCGTTCATACCTGCCAAAGAGTACAATATCAGGCTGCCATATTTCTCGGATATTTACATGTATCTGCGTTATGCCACCGTATACTCGTGGATCCCATTGTAAATATTCGTCAAACCAAGACTAGAAACAAACAAAACTATCACGTCAGGCGTTTGTAATACCAGAGTAATATTACTTGAGCCAAGACTCTTTCTAACGGTTTCACATTATATAATACGCACGTGAAGATAAGGATATACTATTAAGGTAGCAAGAAAAACGCATTAAAATCAAATTATGATTCGAACATTTCGGATGTCGAAAATCTAATGCGTGCTACTTAACAACCTATATATCACCTGAAAGTTTACATATAGGTGAATACAGTGGCGCATAAGCCGTACCAATGTTTGTTTAAGGAATTATACGAAGGCCAGTATATATATTGGGCTTGAACTTGTTTTACTATTTCGAATAATGGAAACACCATTTTAAACACTTACATTCGTGCGGATATACTGTGAAATGATAATGCTGTAGGCTAAAGGGATACTTTCCCTTTATATGCCTTGTTTTCTAACTACGACCAAGGGAAGGTTGCAAATGAGCAATATTTCCGAATTGAAAGTATGCTGTTTAAAAGATACAAATACTTACAAGAAAAAAAAGACATTGCTTGCAAATTAAAGTTGTATGTACACACCACCATGTTATTCTTTCCAAGTAGGATGATAGTTTATTACCTAACTAAAATGTACTACTCACCTGACCCAACCAACATTTAATTGTAATTATCTGGTTCTTTTCATCCTGGAAAAGTAACATATATTGACATTTTCATTGCTATTGTTGTAGAGTCATTGGCCTACTATGCATGCTCATCCCACGACTCTCTCAAACCCAAAATCGAAGGTTCGTTTTGTTTGTCGAACACGAAGAAAGATTTTTGGATACTCCGACCCTAATTTGCATAATTTGAATTATGTCGTATATAATTTACATATTTATCTTAAAAAAAAATAGAAAACAACATAAGATATATCAAACTAGTCGGCTCGATCTGTAGACAATGACTAAACGAAAACAAATGTTTTTCCCGTGTTTTTTAATTGTTAAAATTTTAATGCCAAAATCTTTTCTGATTAAAATAATTTGTCACATTGTTTTTTAAACATATATTCAATTATTTTTATTTTTTTAACTGTTGGTAATCACTGTTTTCTCCACAGTCTTTATGCACATTATCTGAATTATTTTCAAATTAAGTGGTTTGATGTGTGTAGAATGTGACTGAATTCTCAAATCCAACATTGCTCTAGTGTCTCAATAAAACAAATGATTTTTTTCGATTAAAAGTTGTTTTTAGTCTAGTGGGTCCACTTTTTAATGCGTTATATAAATTGTTTTTGGATGACAAAACGTCTACTGGGTGACCTGAAACAGATTCTGGATGAGGGAACTTTTGTACCCGTGAGCAATTAGCATGCATTCAAAAAAGCCGCCATGAAAAAATATCCCATACAATGTTTAGGGTTCGCGTGCACTCCATCAACAATATCATAACAGCCTTGATATTTTAGCTGGCCTATAAAGTCTTATACTTATAGTTTTAACATTTAACATGTTCGTAAGGTCCATACCTAATTTGCATATTTAGGTTTTAATCTTCGTTAATGTTACCTTTGTCTGTCACGAGAAATTGCTATGTTGGGCTACCGCACTTTCACGTATTTGATTATGCCTTAGAAAATAAATTTTACTCATTGTTCTTGCTGGTTTGTTGCGTTGTGTGCAGATTCGGATAGTTGTTTCGCAGGCGATCGATTTTTTTGTTTTATTGTTTCTCTATCGTACACGCACTTTTGACACTGACATGTTTTAATTTTGTGTACATTAACTAAATAATAAGGCTACGCCCTAGTCTCTATAATTGTATTTATTTATTTATTTATTTATTTATTTATTTATTTATTTATTTATTTATTTATTTATTTATTTATTTATTTATTTATTTATTTATTTATTTATTTATTTATTTATTTATTTATTTATTTATTTATTTATTTATTTATTTATTTATTATAGCCTAGAATTGATATGCAATTGCCAACGAATACAAGCATATGTCTTTGAAATGACGTCGGAATGTAATTAATTGCACGCATGTGTACTGCTTTGACTTCAGCACAAATCTACCGACATGACAACATGTGGTAATCATTAACTGCTAGACATCATATATCATATTCTTAATTATTTGTATGAATAAATTTATAAAACGCATAAAGTGAGACAGCTTCACGGTAAACGGCCCCGATCAATTGGATACGTCGGGGGATGTCTACAACACTCTCACACACAAGGATTATTCGATTCGATTCGATTCGATTCGATTCGATTCGATTCGATTAGATTAGATTAGACTAGATTGGATTAGATTAGATTAGATTAGACTGGATTGGATTAGATTAGATTAGATTAGATTAGATTAGATTAGATTAGATTGGGTTGGGTTGGGTTGGCGTGGCGAGGCGTGGCGAGGCGTGGCGAGGCGTGGCATGGTATGGTCGACGTCATCATTACCAAATTACCATTTACGAAATAACTATATTCAGTACTTATGTGCAACTAGGCAAATTATGCATGCATGTAGTTGCACCTTTGGATGAAATTTGTCCACATTGGTTGACAATACCTTCATACCCAAACCAATGGAATGAGTTTAGAGTTTGGTCGTGAACAAATACGAACTGCAATTGATGTATATTCCAAATATGAAGTGGTTCCCATATATATGTTTATAATATAGATATGTTAGATTGTGAGAGTACACGGTTGAATGAAGGGATAAGTAAGATAACTCATGGCGCACGATATACCATGCTTGGTGTTGGGTTGTTGCTAGTGAATATTATTTCAGTGAGTTTATAAAACGTCACTAATCAGTAAAACAGAAACTAAAATTGTATCTGGAACTGATATTTCACCAACTGAGATACAACGACTTTACCATATCTAACATCTGTATAGGCGTCAAACGATGCATCACTGTGATTGGTTTAGATTCATTCTTCACTGGTATCACGTGATATTTGGGATACTTTTCCATCAGATCAGTGACTAGAATAGCGCCGTACTCCGAAGTTGACACGTGGTCTGAAACAATCATATAACGAACCAATGAAATAATCTACACCATATGGTGAAAATAAGAAAATATTTTATGGTGATTCACAAACAGATGAACTGCTAAAATGTAGGTGGGTTTGTTTGCATTATGAATACAACAGTCGGCATCATTATTTTGTAACTGAAAGCTTTCTAGATAGTGTTGATTGTGTTGAGAGAATTGCTCTGCAAGTGGTATTATTTTATTTCGAATGAATTAATGTACACAATATTAAGAATGAGATGGAATTTGGATATAAACATGTTTCATATTTCCTGTAAGTTCTAATTGTGAATTTTATGAAACTATTTTTAAATATATGTAGTTATATTCTTGTATTTCTTGAGAATGCGTATTCTGCGTTTTTCACTCAAAGTGATGTGTTCAAACCAGACAATAGAAACCCGGAAAACAACCGCGTTATCCTGTGTGGCTTTGTTTTAGTGTAATTAAAATATTCAAAATATTACAATCAGAATTTACGAATAAATCACTGCTGATGTTTATTCATGTTAGTAATTCTTTTGTTTTGATCATTTTCACCCCAAACGTGAGATGCTATGTTATGAGTGTGGTCATAATCCTTCAACACTAGAGTCCCCGTGGCAACGTCATTTGTCTTGTCTTGTTCTGCTGATCATTGGTAATGTAATATAGTCGAACACTACAACTCCAACGAACAATTTTATCAAAACTAAACAAGGCATACAACGACATTATTGTATGTTTGGGACAGATTTTGAAAATGATGACCACGAGCGTCATTCGAAGTGGACGTGATTTTTATTTTACGTTTAAACGAGACTGCTAATATATTGTTGTTTTCTCACCAGTTATAAGCATACAGATAAATTGAATCGCCGACGTCGTTCCGGTCACTGCCACTAAGTTGTGGTTTGAACGCATGGATTCTATAAGACGTAAGTTTCATTTCCGTATTTTAAATTCGACTGAATCATCCGGCACTTTTTCACTGTTGTTGCGCAAAAACGGACTACATAGTATATTACTTATAAAATCGCAAAATGTTGGAATTATGAATCCTTTGTTCAGGAAAAAAATAAAACAAAAGGAAAAATTAGAAATACAGGATCGAATTTCAATACCTCCTTTCTACGATAACGTGACTTTCGGGGTCACTGTCATCATGTCATCTTGCCGCCATGTTACAAATTTACCAGACTTATTAATTTTGTAGGTCATGTGGCAATAAAACAAACAAACACAATATTGAAACAAATAATATTAATCGAAACTTTAAACCAAGGTCTTCCCAAATACATGTAAATATAGGTTTGATGGTTTCACGTACGCCCTTCTTTTAAAACAATAACGATTGTGATGCGTTACAGAGTCATCAACAAAAGTGCTTGTAGACATATTTGATATACACTAGATGTCACAGATGAAAAAAGTGACTGCAGATATATGCGACAAATAGTACAAGATGCCTCTAGGAATGTTTTATTCCTCAGCTCCTGGGAGCGAGGTTATTTGTAGTTATGTTGGCAATCGCCGCTGTGTATGCGGAAGTACTATGGGAGATTGCATGATGGAAATGAAAATTCTTTTGATCAGGAAAATAATTTCAGAAAAGTGAAAACTAGAGTGACTGTGAAATAAAGTTTGGTTTTAAATATTGAATATCATGGCATCTGGATGTAATAATGAAAGGAAATTGAACTGGTATGAAAGGGCAGTAAATGTAGCGAGAATGCAAAGTCAGAATCCGGGGATCAAAATACGTCACAATACATCCATCAAGGCGGTTGCAAAGTGTCAACAACTATGGATGCGGTCACAGGGACTGTGACGCGGTAAAAGACTTGATTTGCAGTTTGTGTGAATGGCCGGGAGAAAAATTCATGCAAATTCTGTGTTTCAGTAACAGTATTTGCTGATTTTTTGTGCAATGGAAATTAATACAAGAAATGTTGCCAAAATACAAGTCATTCTAAGTAAACAAAACAACCTTGGGACGTTTGTCTTGAGAAATTAAGAAGACGAAAATCCATTGGGACAGTCGTTGTGAAACAATAGACATGCTTCTCCAGGGTATCAGGGGTATTTTGTTTATTTGAAGATGGAAACTGATGCTTTATGGAAGAGCAAAGTTCAAAGTCATTGGCCACAGTTATGGTGTTTTTTAGAGGGGTGACTCGCTAGAAGTATTCACACTCCAGACTTTTCATTCGGGTTTATACTTGACTTACATGTTACTGTCAGGAATGTTTAATGTATTGTTTTTATTGCTATGTTCTCATAGAATTGTTAAATCCTGGTATCATTATCAACTGTCACCAAACTGTACGTTTTGACGACTGTATGCAATTGTAAGATTACATTTCAGGTATATTCGAAATGAATCTCGATCAGCACTGTGCCTTTTATAAATGTCATGGTTTGGTTATACGTGTACTAGTAAACAAGTCTCAGACGTATTAGGGCAACCAATTTGTAAACTCGCTCGCTAGAATGTTTTTACTTGGCCTGGTACGCGTCTGGATTCATCTGGACGATTTGTTTTGTTATGCGAGGCGTGATAATGTAAAGGTAGTACGAGTAATTTATATGGGGATAGCCATCTTGAACATGGCTTGAAATCAAATAAGGAGACAACTTCAAAAACAGTCCCCTGCAAATCAGGGAGAAAATTAAATTTTCACATCCAAACGATCCGTTGGGGTAACATTGAGTCAAAACCCAAACACGGTTAGCCAATTCGCTAGCGAGTTTGCAAATTGGCTGCCAATACTTCTCGGACTTTTCTGAAAACTGTACAGCAAATCATATATTTTCATTATTAAATTGTTAATAGTTTTCTAAATGTCAGTTTTTATTTTTCATAATTAGTTACATTAATAAACCATTTTCCCGTTATGAAACCATTTCCAGTTATTATGATTGTGTACATGACAGCTTTGCCCCTCACACAATAAGACATGATGTTATGTACGGATATATGTGAGTATGTTTCATGGATTAATAGGCCACTCCTTTGCTTCGATACCAACTATATCTGTGGGAATATCACTTGCTGTTTATAATGCATATTTCGATATCCCACAATGTGTCGATTGCGTGTCTGGCAATTCTAACTAACTACTATTTCGCAAAATTTGACCAGCCTTTCTTCTACCGGTCATTAAGTCAACACTCACATTTTCCTTCACAGTGAAGGTTAATACAGATATATTGTAAAAAACACAGAGGTAACACTACAATACATTTCCCTTTACATTCCCTTGTATTACATAACAATCTTTGTGCTGAGGCAGTTATGGTTCTACAACTATCACCAATTCCTTGGGACAAAGTGCTTGAATGAATAAATTAACGTACACTGAAGATTGATACCGCCTAGCGAACCGAAATCTGTTTTGACAATGTACCTCTAGAAATATATTTAAAAGCAGACGAAACAGACGGAAAAGCTTTAATGTCCTCATCAGACATAATGACTGTTTCTCAAATGATACCACATAATATACACTCAGCCTGTGCCATAATGCATACTGTTTGCTATGCGAGTCAAAACGATAACCTTTACTTAACAAATGTGTCACGTGATGTGATAATTGTGGTATTATTAACATCAATATAGTTTGTAAAAGAATTCCACAGATATCAGAGTGTTAACAAGTGTGATCCTAAGTAGCATGTATCTGGTTTAACAAAATAATCTTGGTCATATCTTAATTGAGCTGAATAATGTCTTTCCCAGACAAATTTATCTATGAGAATTAACTATCCATTTTAAGAAAGCACTCGAAAGAATTCAAACGTTTTAGTATGCGTGACTATTGATCAAAATGTCGAGAAAATTATGAGTTGAATGACCACATCATGTGCCGAACATATATGTATGTACCGAGTCGGTGTTAGTTTCCTAGCAACACACAACTTTCACCAGATGACCGACTGTTTGCATGCCTGCCTCTTTGTAATCTTTTGGGAAACGCGGGTGGTTCGATCTCGTTAAAAGTTGAGTCACACTGTAAACGATTATTTATTAACGGTATTCCATAAAACGTGCTAGTTATTTTTACTACCTTATACTAAAATATGTTTGGATATTTAGAGTATGAACAAATTCCTACTTCCGGTCCGGTAAGACTTAAAATATACCACGAATATTCAGTTTTGAGATATAATTCTTGATATGTGTTGGTTCTTAGATATTTCAGCTTAGTCGTCCTCTACTTCGTTTAGTAATTCGAACTTCCCAGACTGCGTAAAAAAACTACATAAAGTGCGTTCAAGGTCTTCACTTTTTCATAGCATAAAAACGATTTGCTTCCTCGCTTATTGTAACACCCTCATATCGACTGATTTCCATTCCCCTCAAAAGTCAACAATGGTATATTCCCCTATTTTACGCTACGACTCGACAGTCCTTTATGCTTCTCGTGTTCATTTGCCTTCAATTACGTTTTGGTGGCTGTCACTATGTCCTGAGTGATAATGTTTTAGTTCCAACTCACGTAGCTATCGCTAAGAAAATTAAAAAAAATCGTTCATTTCTTTGTCAAATAACATGCCGGAAATCAAATTAGCATTAGTCATTTTCCACGACAGCATTCCACAGCAGTGCCACACCACAGACAACTAGAACATTGACTCGCTCGTCGTTAAATTCACGTACATTAAATTGTTCAAAAACGTTATTGGAGTCCCTCAAATTTGTATTTGACCTTTGTCACCTATTAACCTACCAGAGTGAATTACATCACTAATATTTGTTCCCCTGGAATCTATAATCAAGTAATACAAATGGTGTCACAATACAAATGGTGTCACAATACAAATGGTGTCACAATACAAATAGTGTCACAATACAATTTTCGAAATGCGTTTATTTTTGGTGTAACTTTTCGAAACATTTATGTATGTTCCCTAAGAAAGTTTTCAACGAAATAATACAATAGAATACAAGGTAGATAAAAAATACAATATTTCACTACTATAAGTTTATAAAACACCAACG